CCCCCCCCCACCTAAATGAGTGCAGTCTGCTGTCACCTGTGCCTAAATGAACAAACCAGTCCACAGGTCTGCAGTGAACACAAAGGATTTCCATCCCTTTCTCTCTCCCCCCAGTGCAAAGATCTGGATATCCAGATAGCTTTAAAATCTGCATCTAGCCAAAGTTTTCTGGTGCTTAGTGCACACGTCAGGAAGACTCTGTTTTACAGCTAGCATTTAAACAAAGCCGGTCTGCCGGGATGGTGGGGAGGGCAGAATCAACTGCTCAAATCTAAAGAAATGCAGCTGTGAAAATCTGAACAAGTCCTACCCCAGGAAGAGAGAGCAGTTAATTGTCAGACGTGACCCAGACTAAGTAGACAGGGCTTGTGCTGATAGTTTGCAGGTAGCCAGCTACCAGGAGGAATCTGATGGACATACCCAGGAGGGAAGCTCCATAGACGGGCCTTTTTGCCCTGTGAAGGGCCTTGCCTCTGGATGGAGCCAGCTGGAACCTCAGACAGAGGCCAAGAACGATGGAAAGACGGGAGATGATCACTCAAAGCCAGACCATGGGGGCTTTGCATACAGTTAGCATGATGGTGTTAGAGGCACTGTGATACTTCAGCACAGCATGATCCAGCAGGTTTAGGAGCCTTTGTATTCAGTGCCCCTAAAAACTTGCAGAATAAAAGATGACTGCGGTATGGTCCATACTCTGTGCATTTTAGCCCTCTTTCTGGTTGCCTTAATCTCCTGCTTCTGCCCAATCATGGCAGCTCATTGCCTCTCGGCAGCAGAGCCCCATCTCCCGCCAAGCAGTTTTTAAATTGAGATTGAACTTGATAATGGAAACAAGAAACAAAGAAAGGCTGAATAATAGGATGAGATCCAGACTTAGATAGTTTTGTGGGGGGAGCTCTATAGGAAACTCCAGCACTGAGGATCAGCTTATCAGGCTTCATGTGTGATTAGTTAATAATGAGAAATACTAATAAAAAGGAGGTATTTAATCATCAGGAATAGGTAGCATTTAAAGACCAAGATCTGGATAAATAACGAAGAGTGACAATATTGCATCTGGTATGCTTTGCAATGAGGGTTCGTTGATAAGCAGAAATAGAAAGCTGTTGTGAGGCTGTTCCCTATACCTCACAATTGTAGCCAACCAGAAGGTGAATGCGTCTGAAGATTTGAAGATTAAGATGATCTCTTGCTTTGATTAAGAGAGCATTAAACCATTTCTCCTTTCCCCAAAACCAGGATTTCACTGGGGCAGAGTGGGGTTAATAACAGAGCAGGTTACACACAGAGCTGTTTGGAGAGGGAGGAGATGAGAACAGATTGCCAAGGCACAATTACACTAAATGAACTAAGCGCAGGCCACACCTGTGCCTGGGACCTAGCGCTCGCAATCCAGGCCTGATTGGCTCTCCAGAGACTTCCTGGAGGTAAAGTGTCAATTAGTGTAATGACCCTGGACTTTGTCCACTCTGCTCGTTCATTCTGAGCATGGAATAATTTCATGTACACTGGGGGATCTCTTTTAGCAAACTCCTCACAACACCACCTGCTCACCCCTGCTCGCACGCGCGCTCATTCTTTCACTGCTATTCCCAGCTTGCCTTCAGCTGGCTTGTTGAACTAGAATACAAAATGCAGCATGCCCTAGAGGCACAGCGGTCTGGAGCTTCGCTCACACAATAATGTTCAAACACCTGTATGGAGGATATTGTCGTTTTTAAAGGAAATACTGCAAGCTCTGCACTTGAGGCTTGATCCTGCATTTCCCACCCAAGACAATGCCGGGACTACTCACATGAGTAGGACAGCTTTCTAGTTACTTTAGCAGCCCGCTGCTTAGCTTTTGGATTGGTTACCCCTGTAACTTGAGTGCTAATCAAATTCCTATTACCAATCCCTTCTCCAAACAGGCTTCCCTGAGGCTCTGAGCAATTTTAACCTGCTCTAGACAGTCACCAATTGTGTGTTTTGGAGACACGACATGAACACTGACTCATATTGTGTATCTGAAGAGGTAATTCTATCTTAAGTAAGCTGCAGGCTTATAGGGGATAGGGGCTCTGCTTCTGTTCATGGCCAAGTATGCTGGCATATCGTGCAAGATGATGATAAAGCAGTGCAAGATGAGCCCAGTTTAAACAGAACAAAGGACACTCCCCCTTAACACACTCATGCATGTAAATATAATTAAATAAGGGTAGTGTTCACATGTTTTTAAACACGACCAAAAACACTGGACTAGTCTTGCTCATTGGATGCTACTTTACAGGCTGAAGAGTGCCTTCTAAGTCATAGAATCATAGAAAATGAGGGTTGGGAGGGATCTCAGGAGGTCACATCTAGTTCAACCCCCTGCTCCAAGCAGGACCAGCCCCAACTACATCATCCCAGCCAGGGCTTTGTCAAGCTGGGCCTTAAAATCCTCCAAGTTGATCTGACTAAGTCTTTTGCATTCCAGCCTGGTTTTTTAAACTTTAGCACAGACGGGCATTGACCCCTTTAGGGAGTTAAACACAAGTCATTGTTTTTCCTGGCATTCAGTTTAGGGTGGACCTGCTTCTTCCACAGACCTCAAAGAAGGACACTTTGTGCCTGAAAGCTTGGCTAACATCTCTCCCAGCAGTTGGTCCAATAAAAGATATCACCCCAAAAACCCTCGCTTCTTAAACACATCCTGGCTACTACAACATGCCAGCCCTCTTAATACTTTTCAGAGCAGAAAAGTGTTAGCTAAACTGTGTTAGGCCGCATGTTCTTAAACTCAGGCTAGAAACAGCATTCAGTACGACATCAATCTATACCTTGCTTTAGGGATGCAGAACTATTGGGTGAACCAAGATGCTCCAACTGTGCTTTGGGGAAATGTCTTCAGCCCATACCAAATACCAGTTGGTTATAAGTTTGGCAAATATGGTGGGTACCTGGTTAGAAAAGCCCAGTGCACTTAAGTAAATAGGGCATCGCCACTCGGATCTTTCAAAGGGCCAGGAACTGGTGTCAGGTCAAAATTTCCTCTTCCCAATGAACTATGGCAAACAATGTGCTGCATGATGGGAAGACAGCACAGGCTGGCACACATTATATACCCTTTTCCTGGACCACAGCTATGTTTTCCACTAATACAGCTGGGTAATAACTGAATTTAAAGCTGTGTTGGTCAGTCAGGGTCTTTGGACCCTGCAAAGCTTGTAGCTGGCCCCTAATTTTCTGAACAGTCCATGGAGTCTTCTGGTAACAGAAATAAGCGGTGGTTGTGTGGAGAGATGGGAGCTTTGCGACTGTGATGGTCCACCCAACTCTTGTCGCCAGCCCTGATGCTAACCTCCAAGTGTGTCCATTAAACCAGGATACAGCTAGCTGGGTGTGAGAGAGACAGATTAGCTTGCCTGAGCTTGTCATTCCAAATTCCCTTCCGGTTCTCTCCCAGCAGAGCTCTGGCCCATGCCTGCAATCAGCGCTCTCTGGAAGGCTGCCGAGGGGAAGTGATATCTACAGGGTTTACTGGAAACTCTTGGCACATCACTGGGCTTCAGAATGTGATTGCTTTTCACGAAAGGAAATTTCCTGGAGCGTGGGGCTGGTGGCCGGTGTGGGCTGTCAGCAAAGGGAGCCTGGGGACAGGACCTTGTTTCCCAATTTGTCACTTGGTTTCCTATGTGACTCATGATATGATGGACAAAATGAGATCATTGGGTATTAATCCTCCATTTCAGAAGCACCAAGTATTAGTGTTGCAAAATAAAGCACAAGCCACTTAAATACCTGCTGAAGTAATAATCCTGGTATGAGGATCACAATGGCTTGCATGCAGTGGTGGGGGGTTTGGCTGCCAGCTCCTAATGGGAGAAGCTCAGCTAGGTATGAACCTGATGGGCTGGTCCGTGCTGCCCTCTGTAACATCCCAGAGCAGGGTTGTCATGAAGCTCTCACAGAGACCCAACCTCAGCTAGTCAGTTGTGGGCCTCTGTAAGGGTTCTTTAAGTCCTAATGCTTTAAATGTCTGGAAACTCACAGGCAGACAGCATAGATTGCATCGTATCAGTTTTCCAGCAGCCCAAAGCATACCACAGCTTAGCGTTCAAGTGAGAAGCTGTCCCCTAAACATATGATGCAGGAAGCCAGATACTGTGGAAGCATCTAAATAATAATTCCTGCTTGTTTTTTTTTCCCACATTGTTCTAGGTTTGCCAGCCCTGAGTACGAAGCAGTTATGAAACGAATATCCCCCATCGTTGACCAGCACAAGGCGACCTTGGTGCCAGGAGAACCACAGCTGAACGTATGCGACAGGGCCATCATGGTAAGGGAATTAGGCCCTACATACATTTGAGCATCTCTGGCATATAATGTGTGTTGTAAAGCATGAAAGTCTCCCCTAGCACAGGTTGGTGAGGGGACAAAATCCTGTATAGCCCTTTTGAAGGGCTGTCTGGCTGCTCCAGTGCAGTTGCAGCTGTGTGTTACCTGGGGAGTGGAGTCATGCAGAAGGGTCAGCACAAAGTTACTGGAATTGCATTTGGAAAGTCTGTCAACGTGCCGTGATAAACGGTGCAACTTTCTGCCTTAGAGAGAGCGCAGTATCTGCAGCACCTGCTCCTCCTCTCTTATCCCCCTCCAGAAATCTCCGAAACTCAGCTGGCTTGGCAGCGGTGGAATTGATACCTTGGCACCCATCTCTCTTGATCTGTATCTTCCAAGCACCCAATACCAATTTTTTCCAGTCTTCATGGCTTAACAACACAATGAATGATATGGAATAGAGGGGATTTTTTTTCCAAGTGAGATGGTGTTGAAGAGTCCTTGATTTCTAGAGAGCACCCCCTGAACCTGACACTTTGGTCAGTGTGTGAAGACAAATCTCACAGCATGAGAATGATTTTGTGTAGACAGAACGGACCTGCCTAGGAAGACTAGGATGTAAGTGAGGAAAGGAAAACATAGATTAAAAAGCAGAAAAAAAAATCCTAACTATGGAATAGTCTCCCAAGGCAAAAAGAGGAAACTCCAGTGCCTGAGGACTGCTTCCAGCCAGAAAAATAGCCACAGAATATAAAACGGGGGGGGAGGGGGAAATCGTGCATTAGTAAGGAGACAGGGAAGGTCACCTCATAAGATTTATGCCATCTCTTCGTTCTTGGGTGTTTTGCAGGGGAAGCAGCTGAAGAAACAGTGCCTCTGTCCTGCTATCTTTTTTTTCTTTTAACTTTCTCTTTAATCAATACTCATCACTCAGTAATAGCGGATGATAAATGGACTGAAAGGGTCTGAAGGCACCCAGCCCTGCATCCCAAATCCTGCTGCTGGAGCTGAGCCCATTTGTTTGATCTGGACATTGAGTATTTTTGCAGGGAGAGGGGGCAGGAATCATCCATGGAGGACAGCAGATGTACCACTTTGTAGTTGCTGCCCCAATCTCAGTACGGATGTAAGCTCCACCGATCTGCCTGCTGGTACCTCCTGCCCTCCGTGTGCAGGGAGCCCCTGTCTGTGGAAGTGATCTCACAGAGCACAGACCCTACAGGGATCACCTGCATGCACGGGAACCACCTCAGTTTCCCTGTCTGCAGGATTTGCAGCCCATCCAAGGTGTTCAGGCACTAACAGTTTAGACTCACGACAGCAGAGACGATTTGGATCTCAAGGTGTGAAACAGATGCAACCTAGTCATGCAGAAAAGCAAAAATTCCCTCTGTTCCATTGCTCCAGCTGAATGTTTAGCCCGTGAAACTCCCAGTCATCCTGGTGCATTTAGAAAGTTAGAAACCTTTGTAGAAAGCAGCAGCAATTGCTCCCATATTGCAGGGGGCCTTGTCTCCCTGGAACAGCCTTCAGACAACATCCCCTCCTTGCTGTCCTTCCAAGCCTGATGAGATTGCTGGTGCATCACTGCCATCTGTCGTCGGTTCTGTGCAATGTAGACCTGCTCCTGTCTTTTTTCCGTAGCATTATTTGTTTTTCCCTCCCCCTGCAGGAATCTGCTTCTAAAATGAGCACAAAGGGCTCAATTAAAATAAATAAATATAAGGCAGTAGGTCCGAGCACAACTAACCTTTAATGACTGACAGCAGGGATCTCCCACAGGTGACTGGGCACCGAGACAGCAGAAGATGAGCGTTTTACCAACTGATGTTTTCTCAGTTGGCAGCAGAGGAAAGAGGGTTTCCAAAGGCAGAAGAAGGATTGTGGCCCTTTGAATTAATTTTATTGCAATCCCTTATTGTAATTTTTGCTAGCTTGTAGTTTCTGGGGGAAAAATTAAACCTGTTCCCCCCACCATTTCCTAGTAACCCCTTTTGATGCAGGGAACTGCAGTGTTTCCTTGCTGACATTGTTTCTCCCCAGCTGCACACACGCTGGGACAAGATAATTCAGGGAACATGAAAACAAGGGAGGCAAATTGCTTTGGTTCACACGACTTGGAATAGTTGTCATCTAAGTACCTCCTAATCCATCAATTCCTAAGCTAATCCATCAAAATGCTCATTAAAACGCAAATGTTCTTATCTCTCTCACCCTCAGCCTTCAGAGGCTGCTGGTTTTTTACTTGCTCCCTCCAGAAATGTCTCTCAATGTGTTGGGTGTTTGCAATTTTAGCTCCTTCGAAAGGTTCTGCCAGATGGGTGCAGGTATATTTCCCCATCGTGTTAATGCAAAAGAAGGGGTCAGATCTCTCTGAAGAGCCTGGTTCTTGGATCTGTTACTGGAAGGAGGTTCCGTTGGAAAGGGGTTTTGTGGGTTGCCCAAAGACCGTATGGATAAAATTGCAAGGTGATAGGAAGACTGAACCTGCCAGTCTCAGCCACAAATGGAGCTGCCTTTTTCAGGCAGAGCTTAAGGGTGATCCTGTGCAATGAAAATTAAAAAGAGCTCTTGTAGTTCAGATCTCATTACATCTATCCTGTCTTGCAGACCTTAGCACCGTGTTTGTTCTTTAGGACTGATGTTATTTCTCCATCTTGGTTTTTAACAGAATTGGGCCCCTCCAGGCTGTGAGAAGCTGGGAAAGTGCTTGAAATCTCCCACTTCCAACCCTACCAAGTGCTTCTGGCCGCACTGATATTTGCTCCAGGGCACCAGATCTGGTCAAGATGTGAAACGAACTGAGGTCACGGTTCATGGCACCTGTCTTCCCGTATTGACACTCGTGTGTTTGTGCCTTGGAAAGGAGCGATGTCAGATATCATCGTTTGCTCCTCCAAAAGGATCAGTGTTACAGCCTCACTTCTCAGGGCAATAGCAATTCTCTTCTGTTGTTTGATTAGGCCTCCCTCTTAGCAGATGAAATGACATGTTGCTGCAACCCATAGCACGTTGTCAGTAATGGGTTTGTTTTAAATGATGCAAGAGGCAGTTTCTCCCCAATTACAGTTCTCCCCTTACCTCAGAGATAAAGCAGACGGTCTCTTGTCTTGCTGCTTTCTCTCCCTGTTCTCTTGAGAACTCTTCATAGAGATGCCCTGAAGTACAAAGACCCAGAGGAGGAGCACATAGATAAAAGGTGTCAATTTTGCTTTGATTTTGACTGGGCTGTGCTAGTGCTTTTGCTGGGACTTAAAGCTGGAGGTTCCTGACTAGAGTCTTGTCCCTCTGCTCAGGTTCAGACCGACACCATATTTGGGGTCAGGAAGGCATTTTACCCCCTGGTCAGATTGGTATGGACTGGGAGGGCTGGTTTTGCCTTCCTTTGTAGCAGGGACACAGTCTCTACCTGGGATCTCTTGATAACCTTTTACAGAAGCAGGGCATTGGCAGCCATGGTCCCCCTGCTTTCTCTGTGACAGGTTCGGATGTGTTGTCTTGTGTTGTGTCAGGATTGGCATTAGTGTTACTAAGAGGTTGGACAATGGATTTGTCTGCATGATTTGGACAGGGCTGATCCTGCTTCGGGCAGGGGTTGGACTAGATGTGACCTCTGGAGCTCCCTTCCAGGCCTGCCTCTGTGACTTTATGACTGATTTGTTTTCTTGTAATCAATTTGCTTTTCAGCTTTTTTCCCTGCAATTTTAAGTGCTTTGGGACAGGTCTCATCTCCTGTTTAACAGCCCTGCAGCCTCAGCAGGGTTCTCTAGTGCTACCCCAGAGCAACTAACAGCAGCGGACTTCAACTCCCTGCAGTATCCTAATGTGAAAGAGCAGTCACCAATCAGGAGAAAATGCAGTATTTTCCAAGTACGCATTTGAACACGGGGCTGGTGTGAACATTAATTAAGCAGTATTGGCAAAGCACTTAGATGAAAAGTGCTAGTTAAGTGCTAAATTCCCTTGCAATATTACAGGACATTCTCTGGGGCAGCACACAGCACACCTCCCTTCACAGCTGCTTCATTTACCCTTTCATCTCAGGGAATCTGGGTTCAAACATGGGTGAGGTGATGCTGCCAGCCTCCTAATGTGAGGTCACTTCTTGGCAGGCAGGGATGTGAGGTCGATTCTCGGCAAATAGGGCGCAGCCAGCCAGAGGCTTGGAAACGCCTGTTCAGTCTCAACATCCTTCCCAGTTCCTGCCTGGTGAGGAGTTCGTGGCCCTGCGCAAACTTTTCTAAGTGCTGCATTCTGCAGCCTGGGTGCTGCATTCCTGTCAGCTGAGTTCACAGTGGATGTGGGTCCCTAGCAGAATTGTACATTGCAAGCTGTGCTCTCACACACTCTGCCAGTATTAGCATCTTTCCACTGCACAGAGAAAACCCAACACACTGCTTGGAGGATGGCAGGAGATGCCAGTGGTCTGGGCCACCGGGGGATGCCTCTTCTTCCATTCCAGAGCATCGGGTATTTTTCATGCTTCTCTGGGTTTGGAGCTGTGCTGGTGCAGAGAGGGAACATCAAGGTACTCTTCACATTCCTACTTAATTCTGTTAGACTTCCCCAAGAGGCTGGTAGCTCCAAGGGGGGGTTGAGGCAACCGTCTTTGCAGTAAGCCATGTAACACTTCCTGCTCCCCTGGTTCTAAGCCTCTTGCCCACACAAAATCTCCTCCCCCTCCGTCCCTTCTGTTCCTCAAAGTACCTGCCTCCTGTGAGCCCCTCCATCATATTCTGTAGCACATGCTAGATGATATCCTCTAGCATGTGCTAGAGGCTGGATTATCCCATGAGTATGAGGCTGTCAAGAGTTGGCTCTTAATGCTCCATGTATCAGGACTTCCAACCTCTGTCTGGTCTCTGCGACGTTCTGATCTGCTGCGCTGTCAGTGGTGACTGCTCTGCTCTTGCACGTCTTCATTAACTTGGTGCTTCTTGTTGTCCCTCGAGTATTGAAAAGCATCTCTGATCAGGACCTAACATGGATTGCATTACAGGCGGATGGTGTGAGTCTTGAATGCCTCGCATAATGTGTTGGATGACAGGGGAGGGTGGATCTGGTGAGAGGAATCATCAAAGAAAGCCCTCCTATTCCCAATCTCTGCTCCCTCCCACCTTTAGAAGCTGCCACCTGGAAAGGCTTATCACCCTGGAATCCACTGTTACCAACACCACGTCCTGCGTCTGCAGTTACCAGTAGATGGACTTCCAGTTGATCTAAAGTTGTTCTGAATGCACTGGAAGCAGTAGCAGCATGGCTTCTGAGGGCCCTGCACAAAGAGACATCACCTGTGCTTTTCGAGCAGAAACTCAGACAAGTTTCCTAAATTATCAGTCGTCCAGAGCATTTAGGTTGTGTTCACCCAGGTCTGGGCACTTGTTACTCCAAGGGTTTCTTATCCTGTGCCCTGTTTAACTTCCCCAGCCTACAACCAGTTTTGAAGATACTGCCCTTCACTCCACTATCCCCTGCCGATACAAGTCTCAGCTTGTTGGTTCTCAGTGGGCATGTCTACACGAGACTTGAACTGCCTAATGGCCTAATAACACTGCGCAGTAGTGTGCTGGGCAGAAACTGTGCTAATATGTTACTGTGCAGTAGTATTAGGCTATTGCATAGTTAGCGTCATTAAAAAAACATGCAGCAGCGCTACTGCGCAGTAGCAGAAGTTACTGCACATTGATTTAGTACTTGGTTATCCAAGTACCAAACTTAATGCACAGTAACTATGGTGCATTAACAAACGTGTAGGCACACCCAGTGTTTGGTTCTCTAAAACATAGGTGCTCACCCCGCTCTGCCAAACCAGCTGCTTGAGATGAAGTGCTGTTCCTAACCACCGCGAACAAAACCAAAGGCCTGGCCAGATCCCTGAGCCACTGTTCCCCCTGCACTCTACCGGGTAGATGTCACGAGCCTCAATTCATACATCTACTGTGGCATGGAGCACAGCCATTTCCCTGACTCTTTTTCTCCAAGTATCTCAGTGCTGCTTCTGTTGTGGTGTTTGGTCTGGGGTGGGAGTGCTAATTAAGAGACTTGGCAAATAAAAGCAAATTAAACTGTGATTCAAGAATTATAGAACAACATTGCAGTATGCCCTGTTCATGGGGACCCAGCAAGACAAAGGTGACTGCGGGGAGATTTGTGATGACCTCTGATGACAGTCTTGTTAACCAGAAGGCTGGATACTTAAGAATGTGTGTGTGGTGGTGGGGTGGGGAATGACTAAAAATCCTTACGTGTTCCTTAAACATTTCTAAGGCATTGAGTTGATGACAATGCATTGCCTGATGTCTGTGATGTCTCATGTTTTGGAATAAATCATGCAGAAGTAATGAATGCTAAAAAGCACAATATTTAGAGTCAGTATTAGAAACGTGTGCAAAACTGCAGTATTATTACAGGCATGCGAACGGCCAGTTTGACTGCTAGCTGGTACAGAGACGTCTTAATGCACTGACATTTGTTCACAAATAAGTCAGTGCCTCCTTCAGAAAGACATGGTCCTAGAAAGCTGGCTGCTGTATGTGAAGTCACCTGCAACATTTGTTTAACTCCCTGCACTGTGCGTGTTCCTTGATAAAAGATGAAGGGTTTGATATGGAGGAGCTTGTGCTTTAGATTTAAAATAAGAATAGTTATGAACAGCAGATTGAATTTAGTTTTATAGCTGGATCATTGATAAGTGTTCTAAATCAGTGCCAAGAATGTACAGATGCTATGGTTGGTCTTGAGGGGGCCACAAGGAATTGAAGAACAAAATAAAATGGTTTTTTGTGCGAATTTCTGCACCATGTGAATTTTTAGGTAGCAAAATGACCTTGCAACAGCAAACTGCATCCTTTCCTTTCCCTCTTGCAGCCTGCAAACAGTTTGGGTGAAGGATGGTACAGGGGTGCAGGGCTGGGAATCCAGAGACTTACAGATCTGCTTCTGACCTGCTGGGTGGGACTTTGTCCAAGTCGCTTCCTTTCCCTGCCACGTGTTTCCCTCCATCCTCTGCCTAGTTTGCACAGTGAGCTGTGGCAGCGATTGGGTATGCCTGTACTGTGGTCGTAGAAGCGTATAGCATAGATAGACGATGCTAGGGGGTTGCATGGAACTACTAAGAAGCAGGACAAATTGGCCTGCCCTGATCTTCATGTTGCCATGGCTGGATGACTACCACTACCTGAACGTAATCAGCATAAGGGAGTGTGGGCAGCTCTGCAGTCATATCTGCCACCGCAGCATGGGTGTACCACCATCTCTTGCTTTATGTACACGTGCAGCATCCAGCACAGTGAGACACTCCTGTCATACAAATTCCCAGCAGCGTGCATTGGGACATTCCCGGAGATGCTACCGCGGTGCTGTACCACTCTGGTTACATAAAGCACCGATCAACTTGGCTTAATGGCAGGGATAAACTGAGCCCAGGGCTGCCTGGTCACAGGAGCAGCTCAGAGCAGCCTGACCCTGAATAGACAGACTTTTGCTCCAGCCTTGGGCTGTATTGCAGCCATGTAGGGCCCTTTTCAGGGTCACCATGCTCCCAGGAACCCCCAGTTTGGGAATTCCCCATCCCAAGGCAGGAGCTGGTTTGCTGGTGGCTGTTTGAAGCTCAGCCTTTCAGAGGAGGCTGCCTAGGGGAGCAGGTCTGCAGGATGGCTAGGCACAAACCAGCAGCAATGGAAGCAGCTGGTTTCTTGATGTTTTGCTCTTTTGAGCTGTGTAGCTTTTATTTGGAGCCGCATATATGATCTAAGGGAAGAGAGGCTCTTCTCCGAGATGGCTTATGGTTCTGTGATATTCCCCTACTTCTTTATATTTAAATATGCCTCCTAAATGCCATAAGCTTTAAATCTGTCCAGGCCGGGAGTCCAGGGAATTCTTTCCTTGACTTTAATTTCCAATTAGCTGAGGCTGGATCTTCCAGAGATGGCTTCCTTCTCACCCCCGGAGGCTACATTATCATGAGCCCTTCAGCATGGAGAAGCCTCTGAAATTGATGTAACTAATAATCACGGAGAAAGTCCTGCTACGTTTGCCATCCATGGCTGCAGAAACGGAGGCTTGATTTGAAAACCTGCAGTGACAAATGGATTATTTCGGTAGCAAATTGGTCTCTGTGGACCAACAATTTGGGGATCTGAGCGCTGGAATTGGAAACCAGCAGATCAATTCTGAACATTTACACGCAAGGTCAATGCCCCGCAAACCACATTGAGC